CTACAGTGTAATGACCGCTAAGGATTCCCTAGTTTTAACATGTTATGCTATCTAACACATTTTACTTCGATGCATTATTTCCACTTTCCCCACACGTATGATTGTTGGTTATCTTATTTCGTTCCAAATTCTCACTAAAAGTTTTTCATCATCATCATCATCATCATCATCATCAGCCTGACTACGCCCTCTGCAGGACAAAGGCCTCTCCCATGTTCCGCCAGTTAACCCGGTCCTGTGCTTGCTGCTGCCAATTTATACCCGCAAACTTCTTAATCTCATCTGCCCACCCAACCGTCTGTCTCCCCCTAACCCACTTGCCTTCTCTAGGAATCCAGTTAGCTACCCTTATTGACCAGCGGTTATCCTGTCTACGCGCTACATGCCCGGCCCATGTCCATTTCCTCTTCTTTATTTCAACTATGATATCCTTAACCCCCGTTTGTCCCCAAAACCACTCTGCTCTCTTCTTGTCTCTTAAGGTTACACCTACCATTTTTCTTTCCATTGCTCGCTGCGTCGTCCTCAATTTAAGCAGAACCCTCTTTGTATGTCTCCAGGTTTCTGCTCCGTAGCAAAGTACCGGCAAGATACAGCTGTTATATTCCTTCCTCTTGAGGGATAGTGGCAATCTACCTGTCATAATTTGAGAGTGCTTACCGAATGTGCTCCATCCCATTCTTATTTTTTAGTTACTTCAATTTCGTGGTTCGGCCCTGCGGGTATTACGTGCCCTAAGTAGACATAGTCTTTTACAACTTGAAGTGCACTATTCTCTATCTCGAAGCGCTGCTCTTTTCCGAGGTTGTTGTACATTACTTTCGTTTTCTGCAGACTAAATTTAAGACCCACCTTTCTGCTCTCCTCGTCTAACTCCGTAATCATGAGTTGCTGCAATTCGTCCCCTGAGTTACTCAGCAATGCAATGTCATCGGCGAAGCGCAGGTTACTAAGGTACTCTCCATTAACTCTTATCCCTAGCTGTTCCCATTCTAGGCTTCTGAAAACCTCCCGTAAGCACGCGGTAAATAGCATTGGGGAGATTGTGTCCCCCTGCCTTACACCCTTCTTGACTGGTATTCTGTTGCTTTCTTTATGAAGCACTATGGTAGCAGTTTATCCCCTGTAGATTTCTTCCAGAGTGTTTATATATACTTCATCTACGCCCTGATTTCGTAGTGTCTGCATGACGGCTGATATTTCTACTGAATCAAACGCCTTCTCGTAATCTATAAAGGCTATGTATAGTGGTTGGTTATATTCTGAGCATTTCTGTATTACCTGATTGATAGTATGAATGTGGTCAATTATTGAGTAGCCTGTTCGAAATCCTGCTTGTTCCTTTGGTTGATTGAATTCTAATGTTTTCTTTACTCTGTTAGCAATCACCTTCGTAAATAGCTTGTATACTACAGAGAGCAAGCTGATCGGCCTGTAATTCTTCAAGTCCTTGTCATCTCCTTTCTTATGTATTAAGATGATGTTAGCGTTCTTCCTAGACTCTGGTACTCTTCCCGTCAGGAGACACCTCGTAATCAGGGTGGCTAGTTTTTCTAACACAATCTGTCCTCCATCTTTCAGCAGATCTGATGTTACCTGATTCTCACCAGCAGCTTTGCCCCTTTCATGCTCTCCAAAGCTTTTCTGACTTCTTCTATTATTACTGGTGGGGTGTCTTTTTGGTTACTGCTAGTTCTTATAGTATTAGGGTCGTGGTTGTCTCGGCTACTGTACAGAGCTCTGTAAAACTCCTCCGCTATTTTAACTAACCTATTCATATTGGTAGTTATTTTGCCTTGTTTGTCCCTTAGTGCATACATCCGATTTTTGCTCATCCCAAGTTTCCTCTTCACTGCTGTGACGCTTCCTCCGTTTTTCAGAGCGTGTTCAATTCTCTCCAAGTTATACCTTCTTACATCACATACCTTACCCCTATTAATCAACTTTGAAAGTTCTGCCAGTTCTGTTTTGTCTGTTGAACTTGAGACTTTCATGATTTGACGCTTCTTAATTAGATTCTTCGTTTCCTGGGAAAGCTTTGCAGCGTCCTGTCTAACTACCCTGCCTCCAACTTCCACTGCACACTCCGTAATGATACTCGTCAGATTATCCTTCATTGTACCTACGCTAAGGTTGGTTTTCTCATTTAGAGCCGAGTACCTGTTCTGCAGCGACACTCTGAATTTGTGTACTTTCCCTCTGAGTGCTAGCTCATTGATTGGCTTCTTGCGTATCAGTTTCTGTCATTCTTTCTTCAAGTCTAGGCGAATTCGAGACCGTACCATTCCATCGTCACTGCATCGTACCTTGCCAACCACTTCCACATCCTGCACGATTCCTGGGTGTGCACTCATTATATAGTCTATTTCGTTGTTATTTTCGCCATTAGAGCTCCTCCATGTCCACTTGCGGTTTCCTCGTTTTCGGTAGAAGGTATTCAAAATCCGTAAATTATTGCGTTCTGCGAATTCTACTGGTAGTTCTCCTCTGGCGTTTCTAGGACCGATGCCACAATCTCCTACTGCCTGGTCTCCAGCTTGCTTCTTCCCTACCTTAGCATTAAAGTTGCTCATCACTATAGTATACTGCGTTTTTACCTTACTCATTGCCGATTGCACGTCTTCATAGAAGCTTTCAACTGAAGCGTCATCATGGCTGGATGTAGGCGCGTAAACCTGTACCACCTTCATCTTGTATATTTTATTCAGTTCAATTACGATACGTAAGACCCTTTCATTAATGCTATAGTATTCTTCTCTGTTGTCAGCTATTTTTCTGCAGATCAGGAGCCCCACTCCCAGTTCTCTTCTGTCAGCCAAGCCCCTATAGCAAAGGACGTGCCCATTCTGTAGCACCGTATAAGCCTCACCTGTCCTGCTAACTTCACTGAGCCTTATTATATCCCATTTAACACCCTATAGCTCCTCGAATAATACAGCTAGACTTCCCTCACTAGATAAGGTTCTAGCGTTAAACGTTGCCAAGTTCAGGTTCCAATGGCGGCCTGTCCGGATCCAGAGATTGTTAGCACGCTCTGCTGCATTGCAGATATGACCGCCGCCGTGGTCAGTTGCTTCGCAGCTGCTGGGGACTGAGGGCCGTGAGTTATTTGACGTATGCATGTGGCAGGTAGTGGCCAGATACTGCACCAGGGTGGCCAATCCTTCTCTGGTGAGGGAGTGCGTTCCCGGCGGTGGTTACCGGTGAGGCTGCACCCCAGGCCTCTTAATGCAGTTCCATCAACACGCGGATTTTTTTTTTATCTGGTTGGGAACTGCGCGGCACCGGGATTTGAGCCACGAACCTTTTGCTTGCCAGGCGGATGCTCTAACCACTGCGGCATTGCCGCCATCACTAAATGTTATGGTAAATCAACACCAAACTTTTCAATCTAATAAACTGCTTCTACTAGTGACTCGTATAGTCTTGTGCTTTTACGGTGCTTTTTCTCTGACGTGTTTTCTTGCACGCAGGTTCGATGGGATTTTCATATTCTGTTGTAGCATGTGCACCATTATGATTCATCCTTTCTTCCGATTATCACCAAGAAATATTCGTAAGCTTTGAAATATTTTTGTTACGCGCCAAAATGTCCAATTATTCTAGCCGCTATACATAGTCGTTTGTTTGAATATATTGACAAGGTTTACTGTTTGGTTTCAGCCATGTGTAATTAAAACACATGATTTTGAAACCTGGAATACATATATGCTTTATTTATTTGTGAATGTACGCTTTTTATATTCTCATTTATATTTGTGAAACGAATTGTTAAACTAGGTTGTTTTTATTCACGCTCGACATGCTCCTTCTAAGAGGGGTCCTGTGGGGAGAGGGGGAGTGTTTTGTTGGCGTTCTGGCACAGAACGGAAGTGGAATGGACGAAATGTCACGAGAAGGTGGCAGGAAGCAAATTGCCAGTAGGCCGGCTGAGTAAATTCAGAACTATTTTCAGCTGATGCGGAAATATAGAATTGTGAGAGCGGAACGTCAAAACGTTAACAGGCATTGTTTTCCCAAAGCTTGAGATTGAACAGCGCAATGACTCTGGCGATTTGATGATGTTGACTTGTATGAACGCTACTCTACATGATGTCGCAATGTCAGGGGTCTTTCTGCGTTAGGGTTGCTATTTTCTCTAACTATCAGCACGAAATTTGAGCTAGCCAGACACAAAGCTCCGGTCCCTAGCACTTAGGTCTCGGTTTAATAGAAGTCGTCCGGACAACGTTTTGTATTCGTTTTACAAACAAAAAGATACCTCTACCCGTTATGAACCTGTTCTGTGGCTGCTCTCACGTCTTGACCATCAGACAAGCTTCCAACGATGCCGTGTGACTCTCTTTTACCATTTTGTTCCGACAGAACGCTCACAAAACAGCCCTCTTACTGTGTGCGTACAGTGAAAGCAATTTTTTCTGCAGCAGCATAACTGAAGCGATAGCGATGACATATTCATTCTCTCTTAATGGTCTCCCATATAATCAAACATTGGTTTTACGCATTAACCCGAGAATTTGTTCACATTGAGCCAGATCAAAAACACGACGAGCGAAATGCAAAATAACATGTGAGCTCGAGGTTACATCACCACGCATGACTGATGTTCCCAGCGCGAACAACGCACACTGAATGCTGGTGCACATTCAAACATCACACTCTACTCGGGCATTTTAAGAAAATGCCTGACTCTGAATTCGCGAAGCAATTTCCGACTTGCCAAGGTATTATGACGTATTGCACACACGAGTTAAGGTTATCTGAAACCTTTCCAACTCGTCCTGTTTGTATTCCACAGCATAAGTCCGAACTGTTTCCGTCACACGTATCATTCCAATTTGCGAAAAATGCCAAAGCATTTAGTGTGTACTTAAGTCCAGCTACATTTCTCACTCATGCATGAAGCCCGAAACGGCTGCGCAAATGTGTGATCACTTGGTATACGACATTCGATCATCAACCAACAATTGCACCAACCTGCAATAGACACAAAAGTTTCAGACGTTAAAAGGAATGTATTGTTCGGGATGTAGTAAATAAAACGTTGAACGACAAGTAACACAAGGTCTTAAGTGGTATTTTGTTACAGCCACAGCACCACCGACAGCTTCAGTTGTGGTGTTGTCAACAGCAGCTGGCATTTATCGGTTGGAGACTGTGGAATAAAACAAGAACAAGGTGAGTTCACATCAATAATAAATTACAAATCTTGATTATTTAAATAATTTGATCATATGAATCATATATTAAGTTGTTATCGCGCTAATTGTCAAAAAGCATTCAAGATAGTGGACACTAATCAAAGTCTATTGCTTTCCCTACGACTCACTTGACGGTCGTGACGATAGCAACAACCAAACCTGAAAATCCTGCTAGTGGTGCGCATTTTTTTATTAGAGTAATTGTGGCGTTTATGACGCGTAATTTCAATAGTTAGGCTATCCCGGAACTATTGATTTATTGGGTAGTTTTCTGAGTGAATAGAACAGCTAGTGACTAGTGCAGTTTTGGACAGTGAACTGTTCATTCACTCTGTCGATGATCCTGCCGGGCTTCTTTCGGGGGGGGGGGGGGGGGGGGGGGTAGGCGGACTGCGGAGGAAGCTTCGGTGAATAAATTTGCAAATAATTGAGCCCATTATTTCAGTATTGCATAATTCTTCTGTTTGGTATAAACAGAATGCAAATGAAGTCAAGTGGTGATATTGAAACATCAGTTCTTATAGTATTCGTTGCATTTATTTAAAAGCTATATTTTACACCGGTTCTTGTCTGCGTGTAAATAGTAAAATGTCGCTTGATGGTGCTTTTTAAGACGGCAGAGTCGGTGCCTCAATGTTTGCATCGGGGCATCCAACGTGGCGACAGCTCAACGAACCCCTTAATTTGATCAATTCTTTTTATGATCAATCACCAACACCAAAAGCTTGCGATACGCTCTGCCAGGGGTTCTCTAAGTTTACCAGTGAAATAATCTACAACATGTTACGTGGAAACAGAACAGAGAGGTACTCACACATGCAGAGTGTCGAAGCAACACTCTTGTCACACTGAACAGATTGAAAGCTGAAATTTTTCCAGTCGGACATCACAGCGCAGCTATCGTTGTCCATTGTGGAGGAAAAACATGCGAAATAAGTCACTTTGAATTTACTCTAAAAACAAAATAACTACAAGATATAAACGTTTTTCGAAAGTGTCTGTCACAGAACGTTGTATTCACACTGTAGCATCTTACTCTCAGAAACACGTATAGACAAACAAAGTGTTATCTTCGAGTAAGGTCGGAATGAAAAACAAAGCTGTACTAACACCGGGAGGGCAAAGCATTTACTGTAACAGCATAGTTTAGAATCGTGCCTAATGAAACTGGACGGTGTTAATCTGTATACGCCGGTACATGTTGACACCTACGCAGCAGGCTCGGTTACTGCTGCTGCTTAGACCGAACAGAACAGTCACACCTTCCGGACGCCTAACAACGCTGAAATCACGACTACTGCTAGCTTCAGCCATCGCCCATCAACGACAGATAAGTTGCGAACAGTAGGAAGGTTTTGGCTTATGTCAGTAATATCTTGCACTCCACTGGCACCACGTTTGCTGTCAAGACGAGCACGAGTTCAATGACAACGCTAACATTAACCAATACCAGTTCAGCGAGAACGCAAACGCTAGTTATATTGAGCATGCGCACGACTTTATGCCAGCAGCGGAAAGCAGAACAATGTCTTCAACCACCAACACGAGGGAGATTACTGCGCTCGTCTCTGTTCTTGGTGTTTCCATCCCTTCGTCTAAGTCACGCTGCATTCGTCGGAGTATGTGCCGACTCGTTCATGTCAAGGTGTTTTTAAAGGAAGTTACAAACTGGTGTAAGGATAATACGCTATTCTTTCAGCCCTTGTTTAGGGCGCGGCTCAGTAATTTAGGTGCACCACTGATGCAGTCCCGCTTAACATTCACAATGAGCTTACTTTGCTTTATGGAATATATTTGTACAATATACGCATGCACCTTCCATGTGCCATTCATTATTCTATACTAATCACCCGCGGAAACTAGTGTCTTTTAGGACTTTATTGAGGTTGTTTTCAACACAGTTCACGTTGTTAGTCAATGGAGGATTAAACTTGCACGATATAATGCGTGTAGTAGAGCGGGAGGAGGGAGAAGAAAGAGATACATCGAAAGGCATCGCGTATGCAGAGACATTTCTTACGGTGCCAGCCGTTTTATGGGGCCGTATGCAATCAAAAGGTAGAATTTTCAGCTTGTGAAACAAATGAACGCAGTATTGATTACAGTCTGCATTATCTCTTATTTTGTAATACAGTTGCTTGCTATTGTAATATGCGGATAGGTTAAAGAATGTCCATCCTCATGATTCTTAATCTACCAGTATGATAGGTCACAACGACAAAAATGAGAACTGGGGCACTCTGACAACATTACTGTAAAAACAACGTGCAACAAAAAGTAGCACTTATGTTCAATTGTTCTAAAAATATAGCTTAATCAAATCATACTACGCCAGTCAGTTAGCCAATTTTTGAGTGCTGTGAGTCAGACGTAAGCGGTAATGTGACTGGCTAAGAAAGCAATTCAGCCATAAATTACGATAAATTGCCTACCTCTGAGGTGTGTCGAGCCACAGGGCTAAATGCGGCCTCGGAACCATGAATAGTAGGAAGTAGTTTTTTACAATGACTGCGTATTCTTTGTGGTCGAGACCAGCAGGGAGAAGATCCATGCCCAGTTTTGTGCATTGCGTTACGGACTCCCCCAAGTTCATTCCAACATTGCTCACACAAACCGGACGCCGAGACCACCGAGCCGCGTTCGCGTATTCTGTTTTGCCGAAGCACGAAAGAAAAATCGAAAATTACGGAATTACCACAAACGTATCACATCTTCAAAATTTATCAATAATAACTACTAAATTTATCGCATGCTGTGTACTTACCGCAATCGAAGTCATTAGTAGAACGTGGTTTTAATTTACTGCCTACAAAAAACAACCACAAATGATTGGTTACGTTAGAAGCTAGACGAAGCCACACGTTTTCAACGTTGTTTGTTTACTGAAAAGGCGGTTAAAGGTCCTCACTTTGACGTTCAACGGGCGGAGTTAATGAAATCAATAAATGAACTTACGGTGAGCTGTTCAGAGAAATGTAAATATGACATCGAAAAACGAAACCTTTTTTTTTTCTATTTCCGAGTTCCCTCTAGACTTTTCTGCTTTAGCTCCGCTCTGTGGGATCCTTTGAGAATGCGCATTTCCTATCAGGTTTTCACAGCGCACCCATCGCGAGATATTTGAAGATTTGTCACGAAGCAATGAACATTCTCACTAAGGTTACCTTTTAGATAATTGGGCATATAATTGCCAGCAGTTCGCTAATTGCGTTACTAAAAGCTAAATATACACTACTTCGTTAAGTTCGAGTGCAAACTTCATTGCATTCACGTTCCTAGGTGCGTGCGAGTAGTAAATTTCTGAACAGAATAAATTACCAATACGAATCAAACAGTTTGCAAATAGTTTGAAAGCAATTTTGAAAACCGCTGTGGAATTCCTCAAGTATGCTGTACGAAACAAACGTTCACAAGCCTTAACAAAGCAACACAACAATTTCATTATTCTACAAAACTGAGGAAAGCTCATATGAAGCAGACAATAAATATAGCCGTTGATCTACGCTGCGTGTGTTGTTTTATGTCCCCTACCTAATTTCTGCTCTGCACTGGACTATCAACCGACCGAATGCCATCAACCGACTAAAAACCTTTTCGTTGTTAGTAGGTGTGGATCGAAATACAGCTCTGGCTGCGATAGTCAATGCATTACGTTGTAACGCGTGAGACATATAATAGAAACAACATTGAACAAAACTACGTTCACTCCGTTTAATGTGCAAATAAATCAGCTACTAGAGGATTGCCCTTTGCAGGAATATCTGGTAAACGTACTTGTGGTGTGTTGTATCAGCAAGAGCACCTTACAGATAGAGAAAACTTGTGACCGCTATTATTTATCATCATCATCATCATCATCATAATCATCATCATAATCATCATCATCATGATCAGCCTGACGACACCCACTGCTGTACAAAGGCCTCTCCCATGATTCGCCAATCAACCCGGTCTTGAGCATTATACCTGCAAACCTTTTTAATCTCCCCGGCCTGCCTAACTTTCTTTCTCCCCCTCGCGCGCTTGCCTACTCTGGGAATCCAATCAGTTGCCCTTAATGACCAGCGGATGTCAACGCCCAAACTTCACTTGTGTAGCTGAATGAGGCCACCATCTCCGCCTTTCTATGGTTATTAGCAGTAAAATGATGATGACAGTATACTAATGATTCCTTCTTATCGCAGACCTTAGAGTTATAAATAAAGGTATGGTGATCCGGTCATAAGTATAGCGTTGATAAACTAAGTCAGTTTTTTGTTATTCAAGATAATATTAGATTATGACATTTATTCAATTACAAATACACGAGACATGACTCCTCACATGTTTCACCGTTTTGTTCTATTAGCCTCTTCCCGACAGCCCCCATTATTCAATAAATATGTCAAAAATATTCGGTACCGGGAATACTGACAATTATATTCGAGTACTCAATCTAACAGAACGCAATTCGATTGGTTACTTGAAGTTTCACATTATTCGCACAACCTTAAAGATGAATGGCCTCTTGTAGGGAATTCGCGGAGTGCTTTACACATCGACAAGTTCGTTGCGAGTAATGATATTCTAAGCGAGTTGCGTTGTGGAAAAAAACAACGTGCCTGAAAACGAAGGGAGTTACGTTCCTCATCTTCCTCCCGCCCCTTTGTGCACTGTATTTTCCGATAATCAAGTGTCCAAGCTTTATATGCATAAAAAAAGGGTCGGCGCATAAGACTCGTATATAAAAAACCTATGCATAAAAGTTGCAAACATAAAAACGTCTCACTTCTTCGCACGCACGCGAGGCTACTTTTTTTGCTATTTTGACCGCCATGGCTCGAGTTGGCTGCTTTCTAGATATAATTTTCTGATTTCTTGCCTGTTTTCTTTCTGTCTTTTTCATTTGGCGACCCTAATCATTGACGACATTTCATAAGTGTGGCCGATAAACTTATTATGTCTACTTACAGAAATAGCCCAGCTTTTCAGAGCAGTCGTATTCAATCAATTCTGCGCCGGTCTCGAGATTGGCTGCGTAACACATGCTACTGTTGTTTTGTCTGCAAAAAGACAACAAAGGGGTTGTTCGCAGTGAATGCAATGCTACGGCATGAAACGATCACAGTGACAAAAACTTAATCGCATCAGTACAGCTTCCCGCCAACCAGCATGCCTACCTGTATATTCAGCTGTTCGGCCTATAGTCGATACATGGTGAAACATGATGAAACAACAACCCTCACGTGGTGAAGATCGCTTGAAGCGGGAATCACGACGGACGCTTTACGGCGTCTCGGGAAGTGAGACTGCGTGCTTTCGCGCACTTAGCCCGCAGAAACAGCGCTCACGTGAAGAACAACAATCTGGGCTAGGATGTTAGGCCTACCAATAATTTAAAGCGTACCGCGTCTGCGCTTATCTTTAGCATATCATTGCACTGTTTAACAGATGCGTAGGAAGCTGCTACCATTGCTGCTTCTGATGGTAGGGATGAACAGGAGGATGATGATGGTTCTCCTCATCACCACGATTATGATGAGTTATGCATCAGCCTGCAGTGTAACTGAGTACGGTTGTTGTTTACTGGTTTTCATTCAGCAACGTCTGATAAGAATGCACGCTACCGCAAACGTACGGGCAAATGCTGCCCGCGCTGGGGTGGAATACGCAGCGGTCGCATGGATGCGGAGAGACAGAGAGAGAGAGAATCAACTTTATTCAGCTCGAAGGTTCTATGGTGCGTGCTTGCACCAAACGAAGTGGTTCTCTATTCTCGGGATCCTTATGTCTCCAGCAACTTCTGACCCCTGGCCATCGATGCAAGCTGAGTCAGCAGGGCGGGGCTGGACAACAAGGTCTCCCATCGCTCGGGGGGCTAGGGATTGGGGGTGTTGGGGCGATGGAGCCGAGGAGGTGGGGCTTCCTAATTTCCTTACACTCAACTATGATATGTGCCAGAGTGCCTCTTTCCCTGTTGTAAAAAGGATAGAGTGTAACGTATTCAGCCGGATACATCAGAAGTGCGAGTGTATGCGCTACAGTACCAGATTGAGAGTCATGAGCGGCCCGACGTTGTTTTAGCCTCCGAGATTTTGTGTCATGATCTTGGAGGCTGTGATGCGCTTTCACGTGCCTTCTAGTCTTGAACAATGATAATATATCAAGTTTTATGTCCCAAAAGTACGCTATGAACATGAGAGACGCTATAAGGGAGGGTTCCGGAAATTTCGACCATCTGGTGTTGTTTTAAGTGCGCTGATATCACACAGAACACGGGCCTCTACCATTTATTGTCCATCGAAATGTGACCGCCGCGACCGGCATCGACCCTCGGACTACCAGCTCATCAGCCGCCACCAATACATCGATGCGCACTTCTCGTTTTGATTACAAATAGCTAAAGCATCGAACTCCTTTTTTTTCAATTCGTCAAAGCACGCTGTTGAGCTAGAGGCAGCGTTTTTGTGTTCCGTTTATGCATGACTCACACGTCGAAACAAGCCATGTCCCTACATTTAGACAGCCTAGGAATGGGGCATGAGACCCGAAACAGAAAGCGTACGGTCTTGGTCAAGGAGCTCGGCCTCGGAAATCCAGGACTACGCACACTTCTCAACATTCTGAATGGCAAGGGAGATTCACAAATTTTCATCAAACCTCCCGACTGTGCAGGCAGGACTGTAAATCGTTCGAAAAAGAATCCTCATCATTACCGCGATAAGAAAATATTGACAACAAAGAAGAATGGTTCTATAATTGGCTAGAACCAGCTTCTTAAGCCACTTTTGCCGCAGTACTTTGTTGTCATTCAAAAAAAAACTGACCCCATATCTGCATGTAATCTGCAAATGTCGTCGAAAGACGATAGTCTTGCGTGTGGAGAGAGTGAACAAGGCATTTATTTCATGTTCTGCGCAAGAAAATCGGTGAATGGTATTCCGGAGGCGCTGCGTTAGTGCCTCGAGCGTGCAGCAGAGGCGAACGAGTGCACGGAGTGCACCAAGTCATGACACACGTGAGACATAAGCGACATCTGGCAGCTTTTTTGTAAAACGAAGCGCGCGGCCCTGAGACGGGCGTGCGCGTGCGCAGCCGTCTCAGAGGTGATAAGGTGTAGAACGCAAGGCGACGGGTAGGTGCCACCACCGTGTCATCTTAGGAAAGCGTTGGAAACACTCGCCTTTTTGTGCAAGCGTTGCATGGCCAGCTAGCGTGATAAACGCTAGGGTCCTTCGAATTACTTATGTATGCCTTTTCTAGTAGAATACGCGCATGAAGAATGTATACGTGTCTTATGGTGCCTTAGATATGCGCAATAATTGCTTTTCAATTGGCAATCACACAAGTATGAACGCTAAATCTTGAGCAACATTGGTGGGCGCTGCGGATGGGGTCAGCCGTTTGGGATATCGGCTGGTGCTGTTTAGAGTACCCAGTTCGCATTAAGGGTGAACAAACAGAGAAATGTACAGACGGATGGACAGACAGACCAAAATTTTTGCGTCGAAGGTCACGAAGAAAGACTATCGTCTTTAATAAACAAACTAAATTTCGGAAGGTGCTACCAGCAGTTACAAATAAGAGTACTCCTGGAATGGATCATTTCACACACGCGTGCACGCACCCAATATTTAAGAGTACAACTGAGATCTTCCAAGGCTAAAAGCTTTACTGGCAATCACTGAGAGTTCTTTGTAACGTTGTTGTGGCCCCTGATAGACAATAAACAACAACGTATGCCAGTTTTTTCTTTTTTGCCGCACACTAGTTTTACGTGTATTCTGGTGATACGAACTTCGGATGATACGAATATTTTTAATTACCCGGTAACGTCCTTACCACCGAGGTTATTACATTTGTTAACAGGCCTTGATTACGGCTCTCACCTTGATTTTTTGCATCAGTCACACGTTTTCGCTTACCAGCAGGGAGAATTTATCTGACGCCAACACCACACTTTCTGCAACACGTAATCGTGAACACTGTATCGCGAAAGTGTGCAGGTGGTCTGAGAAGACGTGTGCAAAATTCTGAGCCATAATATTCTCGTCTCATTAATAACGCCACGCGATCAACCCTTAAGGTTACAAGTATAAGCAGAGTTTCTATTGAAGAGAAGGAAGAAATGGTTACCGGTCGCTCACGGCGTGTGTGTCCCACACTATCGGCCGGTTTTCAAAAGACGTTGAGAATTGACGGTACGCGAAGAAAAGTGTGCGAAGAGTCTTTCCGTTCAGCACCGAATACGTGTAGTTTGCACAGAATCTTGTCGCGGTCGCCTTGTTAAACCGGCGACCACCCGAAAAGCAGAAAGCACTATTGTTGTCACCTAAGGGGGAAAGAAAAGTAGAAATGAAATATATTGCCGCACAGTGTGTAAGGTTATTCCATACTGACTGTCCCAATTGTGGCGCTCGCTGAAAATTCATTTCTGCAGAAGGTTCTCAGAAAATTAAACACATATAGACACTAGTTCTACAGTACTACCACAAAATATTTTCAGCAGCTAACTTTTTTTGCGCACGTGGCCATCATTTGAAATTCACGAGCTTAGAAAAACCAGGTAACAAAAAAACATTTACTATAAATTGACCGTTTATTTTTCACATTCATTCAATACTTGTCTTTTTTTTTTTGCATATGTCGAGCATCTTGTTTTAACATTGGGCATTTTCTTATGGTAGTCTTTTCATTTCAATTCTTCGCGCCTACGCAAATTTTTGGTAAACTATAGCATTTTCACGACTTTTGCGGCAAAATTCAATCATTGATAATTTTCTTGACATTTTTTAATGCGAAGCATTTCTTTGCGTAGTACTGCCACCTTTGGCGTCTAATTATCTATCTATCTATCTATCTATCTATCTATCTATCTATCTATCTATCTATCTATCTATCTATCTATCTATCTATCTATCTGTCTGTCCGTCCGTCCGTCCATTCGTCCTTTTGCGTACGTCTGGGTGATTTCGTGATCACCCCCTTAACTTGGCGGAAACCAAAACTAGTGTGGGAGCGTAAGCTGGTTTGACGAATATGACGCGCTTCGGCTGCTGACCCGCAGGTCGCGGGATCGAATCCCGACTGCGGCGGCTGCACTTTCGATGGAGGCGAAAATGCTGTAGGCCCGTGTGCTCTGATTTGGATGCACGTTTAAAAAACCCCGGGTGGTCGAAATTTTCGGAGCCCTCCACTATGGCATCTCTCATAATCATATGGTAGTTTTGGGGTGTTAAACCACACATATCAATCAATCAATTAATTAATCAATAATTCAATCGAATATGGCGTGCTGGTCAAGATATGAATAATGTCACAGTCTCGTGGCATACGTCGTCAAACTCTTTCCGCCAAACAGTGGCACATACCCACGGGCAGGTATGAGCCACAGGTGATTTACACTCGGTATTTACCCAGGAACGTCGAGAACACATGTGGAATAGTAACGCGGGAGCGTTATGAAAAAGTTGACATCGGCAGCGTTCACCCTAAGAATGCGAATAGTAAATGTCAAGGTTCCAGAAGGAATCAAAATGAAGTATTCTGCGTGGCTATCAAGCATTCTATCACGAAACCGTGCACGCCTCGGAACTACTTTTCGAATAGGTCCTAATGTTCGCAGAATGTCGATTGCGGTTGCAGTGCGGGCTATCATATTTTATAAACGTTGCATATATACTCCTATGATACAGCCGTCACGGAAGGCTAACTGTCAATTGCAGTTAGATGCCATGCGCTGAGATTGATTTATGTGGTAGTGTCAGGGGCTACAACCCTCACGAGCACCAGCGCTTCATATCAGCTTGTTGCTTCTGTTGTTGCTAATACTCATGTTCCTGTTGGTATCATTGCGCAAAGTCGAAGAAATGGCTATATGAACAAATGCAACTCTTCAAGAAATGGCTGTGCGTTCAGCATTTCTAGGTATATTTATCGTCATTTCATGTCGTGTCGCTGAATAAAAAAACTACAACACGATCATTTTCCCTCCACATGCTTCGTAACATGCATTCCCAAGGAACGTGGGATCTGCTGAAGTTTTCTTGAACCACCTAAGGGTGCGGACAGACGTCCCAACATGGGCTGAGGCGGCGTTTTCGCCAAGTTTGAGATTTGATTTCAGAGGTTACGCGCCGCACAGAGGCAAACAGAAAATATTGGGAAATAGTACGTTTTCTGGAAACATAGTACGACGGAAGTAATTTATGCTTCTTTATCAATGAACAAATTTTGTCGTAAAAATCTCAAAGCTCAACAATTTGCTAAACTTTGCCTACACGCAAAGGAGTGATATTTAAACCTACCATGAGAAAATGTGTCATGATAAAAGCACGAGGCTCAAAAAATGCAGAACAAAGCAAGTGATGGAATAATGCTCGAAACGGTAGACTAGTAGGGGTTTTTTTTTTCCTTGCCCAGTTTTCCCACTTCGTGAATTTCAAATGGACTTGAACGTCGCTCAAAATTAACCCATGAATCAATACTTCCCAATTAAAAAAAAACTTTTATCATCACAACGCAAGCGCGATACACAACGTGGTACGTTTAAAATGCTAGAATTGTAGTAGTACTCACCGCAGTCTTGAATATCAGTATCATAATACTTTGAATAATCATTCAGTATGTCATCTGAAGAAAACGCACAGATAGGATTACAACACGTTACGGCAAAAGTCGTTCACTCATTTTGTTCCCGCTCACCTTTAGATGCATCGCGGGTCTCACATACGACTGGATAGGAGTCGCTGCAGTTACGCACGAAAAACCACGGTACAACTCCATTAAGCAAAACCGTGGTGCATGGTGAACGCCAGTCGATTTCGGCGAAGTTCCTTGAAATCACGCCACTCAGGTGGCTGCTCCGAGGAGAGAAACAAAGTGCAATGTAGCTGAATGCTCGAGATAAAAATATGGTGTCTCTCACAATTTCATCGACAGGGAACACGTTGCGCACTGCCGATAGGTACCCACACGCGAGTCTTTCTATATATAGTGTCACCAAGCAAAATATAACCAACGTTGACGAATGTCCACGATGTGGCAGATTGCCAAAAATGTACCACTTCTTGCGGTGGTGTGCGAGAAAGACATACAAAGTAAACACATGTCATGGGAGTAGTTGCAGACAACACGCCAGCTTGAACCCAGGCATAAACGCAAGCACGGGGATCGTGGTACAACTAGAATATTTGAGTCATGGTGGGCGGTTGCCAAATGGTGGTGAACCACTTGTCTTCAGACCCCACCCTAAACACTCCACCTACTGGTTCCTATAGGACTTTTTTAGCACAAGTTGTCTTCAGATAAACTTGTCTTCTGCTTTTTTCAGGCGTCAACCGTGGCTGTATGGACAGCGGACGCCGACACAAATACTTTCTGTGCCCACAGCCATGAACTGTTCCTATTGAAGAGATTCGTCTTTTATAAGACAGGATCTCTAATGTTGATTACAGATGCTAGATGTGAGATTTGGAGAGTTTTGATGGAGATATTTCACACCACCAGACATTGGAAACATCCATATCTCAAGACGTTCACTTCGCTTTTGTACGTCTGTATACATTACTCAATGTCGGTGCAGCGAAAATGGCCACTGCGTGTGTGTCTTGTGAGCGTGCGAACATCTAGTGCGGCAAAAGGGTTTTACGAGTGGCAGCTGTTGTAAAACCACTTTCTTTTTACTACATTTCATGAAGCGTGAGGAGGGACGAGCTCTTCGAATACCAATCGTGCCCGGCTCTGCAGAAGCAGCTTAGCCACTTCACCGTTACTAGTACAATCCCGGCTCCCAAATAATTCCGAAGGGATCCAGTACCAGCCATCGTGCAAGCTCTATGCAAGCAAGCATTATTCATAACGAATCGCACCAAAGCACAGTGGGGGAAAAAGGCAATATTTTAGCTTACGTTAGCTCCTATACCTTAAGTCGTTTTGGTTCAGGTCTACCCAAGATTCATCCAGGCCGAGGTAGAACAGTCCACGTATGTCGGTCCATAATCCTCGATCAATTCTCTGCGTGTCTACAAGCACCGATGAGTGCTTTGTACATTGCTCGTTGACCTCCGTTGCGTCGACTTTTTCATCTTCATAGCAATATTCGACATCATTATCGCCCTCTGCTCTCGTGACTGCAAAAATAAAATATGCAAAAGAATGTGATTTTATCTGCGTCGACTGCACTGCACTGAATGAAACGGCAATAGAGAACTTCCTCGTTTAGCATAGACTTTCGACATCGCACTTCTGGTCAGATATTTCTAAGTAATAAAACGGGCTAGTTTTACACTGAAACAAAAATGGCAAACCAAACCAATATGAGACTCCTTTGCAGGATACTGCGTGTCTGACACCGGCCCCTTCTGCCAGCATCATGATTGTTGTTACTGTATAGGGTAACACAAGTTGTCCTCCTGATTACCTTGAGATGTAATGAATCTATGCCATACCACAATGATTGCGAGTCTTCTTGTTCTTTTGTTAGCTAATTAATGAATTCTGCCGTGCAAAATAGCCACTACCAGGACGAAGCTCTAGTCCCCTGATGCACAGCACCACAATCACTGGTGATATATACGTTAATAAAGAAGTTTCTGTCAATACAGAAGTACGAACGGAGGCAGCACTTCTACAGAAGGACAGTGATATTGACAAATATGTCAGGACCAACGATCACCCCTTTTCATTAGAAAGTGGATGACTGGCACCGTCGCAAGTCACAATTGAAATCTTCCGCCATTGAGACAGCGCGTTAATACTTATTTTCAATTCAAACGCGAAATCTAAGTTCCCCATGAAGCTTGGTGTGCGCGTTGTCTAACTGTTTTTTTTACTGCTACGCATCGCCTTCTGTAACAGAAGAGCCTGCTAGATCTCAACGGCCGCGGGTCGAACAATTTCTGCCAACGTAACTTTGGTACCCTAATGACACACAGTGGTCTTGCGGGTTGCCTTTTAAGTGAACGTTCCGGATATTCTGGATAGCACCTGCCCTACTGCCAATATCACTACACAAAAAATATTTTCTGACTCAAGGATGGGTGTACCTCTTCATGTGATTATCTCTAAGGACGTTGTTGCTGCTCTTACAGACAGGATCCCCGTAAACAATTCTACCAAATAAGTACATACATGCTGTCATGCACACTGTCGTTCTTTATGAAAGGGAACACGCGAACGTGTGGCCTGTGCTCTGCGGCACCATCAACCGACAGCAAAAGGAAGCACGTTCACTTTCAGCGTCATCTGTTGCCGAAAAAGATATTAACGAGTTATGGCTGGTAGACAATCGTTGCTAGATTTCGCTCTCTCTCTCTGCTCACGCCTGCAGTGCGTAGTCCACTGCCAACATATCAAGCGTTGTTCGCGACCCCGGCGCAAGCAGCAGTAATCACCCGACATCGCTCGCCACGCGAGCGATCAGGCAACGTAATCTAGCAGCGTTTGTCGACCAGTCATAACTAGTTATTTCGCTTGGCCATTGATGACGCTAAAAGCGAACGTGCTTTCTTCACTTGTCGGTTGATGGCGCTGTAGGCAGCCGCCGCAGAACGCAGGCCACGCATTCGCGTGTTCCCTTTCATAAAGAACGGCACTGCTTATCTAGCCTCCTCGATGAATAGCTAGGTCACGGGTGAGTATTCGTTTTCTTGCCGGTTAATATAATAACGGACACACTAGTTCTCAGTCATTACTAAACTCACAAAATTCACTCTTATAGGTACCGTTTTTTTAAGTAATACCACACATTTAAACAATACATTGCTGACCTTACATTAAAATCTGCATTAACGCAATAGGCTAAAGCTTAGTTTGCATAATAAAGTCCTTTGAGGTTCTCACCTCTGTATTTTAAAATCACCTGAACGTTTAATGTTCTGTAAAAAAATATCCCTGTGCTTGGATATACATACTGTAAACTTTTAAACGACAGATTGCAGCTACACGCGCCACTATAGGGGCCAATATGACAGGCAGTAGGTAGGTTATGGGTGTGGCGTAAGTTCCACAAGATGGCATGTGATTCATTATAATTGTCCCCACTTGTTACCGATCGCAAGTTCACAAATTCTCAATAAACACGCAATACGTGTTCAATGAATTTCAAGCGTTCACCCACTCACCACATTGTGAAACATCTGAGTAGATGGAATCATCTGCAATAGAGAGAAGCATGAAGTATGTTTATACGCGTTATCTGGTCAAAGCACTATGATGTATGATTGTGCCGGTTTTATACCTAGACCTGCAAACACAGCGTTTGTGTCGCTGAGGCTCTGGGATTAAGTGTTAGAAAGGCGCGCACAACGAATCGGAGGATCCTTAGGCTTCGCATTTGAGAGTTTGAACGCGATCGTGTTATCTTCTCTCTAATGCGTACTTCAACTGCTTAGTGCAGAATATTTTTGTACGATTTTACTAGTGAAGTTTAAATCGTGGACTCCTACAATGGGATGAATAAGTTGAAAGTGGATTGTGTCAGTAGATATTTCGCATACGACTGCATTCGTTGTAATATGTGGCATACTTTAAACCACGAGTAATTACTGCGCGTGATATGTTTTCGAACTTCCTATACACCTACTACCTGGTGTTAGGGAATACACGCAGTAACGTCTGTGCCTTTTGTAATGAGCGCCCGACTTTAAACACAAAGTTGTCACGAGAATCACATGTTCTGACGTCTCATAGGAATGCACGCTTATACCACGCAATACGTATATAATTGTGGTATTACACGGTGTATTGTAAAGCCTGTATGTACCATTTTCCAAAACGCGCTCAAGTGCCACCACCTTGAACTAATAATGTTGCAGTATTAGTATCATCGCCACCTTGGACCGATAACGTTGCAGTATTAATATCAAATAAACAAACAGTGCTGCTGTGAACTCACACACACGAAATCGCTTTGCTGGCGCATTCAACGTTTCCGAAAGTGATCATTTGATATTGTGACATAAAAAACCTACAAAAAAAACGCTTATTAGTCCATGATGGCGGCGCCCATAAGTCGAAAATAAAATTGATAAAATTGTGTATACTATATAGTCGAGTGTCTTTGAAAAGCTTAAAGTTATGTTTTCACTGTATTCTCCCTGTATTTCCTAGCAGATGCATAGCTGTGTGGTAACCTAAAATACCTGCTTATCAGAGAAGGGAAGAGGGTTAGGGGGAGACAGAAGTTAGGTGGGCAGATGAGATTAAGAAGTTTGCGGGTATAAATTGGCAGCAGCAAGCACAGGACCGGGTTAACTGGCGGAACATGGGAGAGGCCTTTGTCCTGCAGTGGACGTAGTCAGGCTGATTATGATGATGACCTTAGTAACCTGCGCTTCGCCGATGACATTGCATTGCTGAGTAACTCAGGAGACGAATTGCAACTCATGATTACGGAGTTAGACAAGGAGAACAGAAAGGTGGGTCTGAAAATTAATCTGCAGAAAACGAAAGTAATGTACAACAACTCGGAAAAGAGCAGCGCTTCGAGATCGGTAATAGTGCACTTGAAGTTGTAAAAGACTATGTCTACTTAGGGCAGGTAATAACCGCAGAGCCGAACCACGAGACTGAAGTAGCTAGAAGAATAAGAATGGCGTGGAGCACATTCGGCAAGCACTCTCAAATTATGACAGGTAGATTGCCACTATCCCTCAAGAGGAAGGTATATAACACCTGTATCTTGCCGGTACTTAGCTACGGAGCAGAAACCCGGAGACTTACAAAGAGGGTTCAGCTTAAATTGAGGACGACGCAGCGAGCAATGGAAAGAAGAATGGTAGGTGTAACCTTAAGAGACAAGAAGAGAGCAGAATGGATTAGGGAACAAACCGGGGTTAAGGATATCATAGCCGAAATCAAGAAGAAGAAATGGACATGGGCCGGGCATGTAGCGCGTAGACAGGATAACCGCTGGTCATTAAGGGTAACCAACTGGATTCCCAGAGAAGGGAAGCGGGTTATGGGGAGACAGAAGGTTAGGTGGGCAGATGAGATTAAGAAGTTTGCGGGTATAAATTGGCAGCAGCAAGCACAGGACCGGGTTAACTGGCGGAACATGGGAGAGGCCTTTGTCCTGCAGTGGACGTAGTCAGGCTGATGATGATGATGATGATGATAATGGTGATGATGATGATGATGATGATGATATGATGATGATGATGATGATGATGATGATGATGATGATGATGATGATGATGATGATGATGATGATGATGATGATGATGATGATGATGATAATTAGTATCACCGCCATCTTGGACTGATAACGCTGCGGTATTAGTACCAAATAAACAAACAGTGCTACTGTGAACTCACACACACGAAATCGCTTTGCCGGTGCATTCAACGTTTCCCGAAACTGATCATTTGATATTGTGACATAAAAAACCTACAAAACAACGCTTATCAGTCCAAGGTCCCGGCACCCATAAGTCGAAAATAAAATTGCGTATACTATATAGACGAGTGTCTTTGAAAAGCTGAAAGTTATGTTTTCACTGTATTTTCACTGTATTTCCTAGCAGATGCATGGCTATGTGGTAGCCTAAAACACCTGTTTACCACGAAGGCGGCCTGGGTTTGGTCCACAATCAGACCAGAAATTTTTTTCATTTATTTTATTTGCATCTTTCTCAATTTTTCGGTCACGAATCAGACTATTTCTCGCTCACAACGAACAAGGAACACACCGACTCTGACACCAACGCCGGAATTTCTCCGAAACGAGCTTTTTTAGCAATGTCCCGTTAAACGCATGCACACACCAAACAGCCTGTGTGCGTGCCAAACAATACGTGTGTGTGTGTGTTTAGTGCCATGCATGTGTGCGCGCATGCATATGTGTGCTCGAGCATGTTTATGTGTGTAAGCATTTGTATTTTTCCGTGTGTGTGTATTTGTTTTAGGACGTTGAAACCTCACACCTCAATCAATGTGTCTGCATTTATATGTGTGTTTGTGTAATTTTGTGTATACAAGTGCGTGCATGCGTTGACTACCGAAACTGCACCGCCAACTAATGTTCCCGCGTGATTTTGAAACTCCACTCACCAACACAAATAACAGAGATATTGCAGGAGTCGCAATTCACCGGTGGCTTAGGTTTGTTCTCAGCCCGAAAGTAGCAATCTTCCCAGCCCAAGGTACTCGGCTGATGCAATCTTTTATGGAGAAACAAACACAAGATTATGAGCTGTTATACAAACTCAAGGTACAAAAAAAGACAGGATTAGTGGCGCTACTTCTCAAAATTGAGAAATTAGTGGCGACTGTGAAAAAATTCATAACTAAAATAAAATTTCGCGAAAAATTCCGGGTAAACGTAGGAGCGTTCCTGGAGTTACGGACGTTCTATTTACGGTATACTTTGAAGTCTTGGGAAAGTAAGCTGTTCAACCAGCGATCTCAAACCTGTATAAGATGGTCCTTCGCTCCTATTAGCAAAATATTTTTCAGCAAATTTGACTGGGGAGGAGAGCGGCATCTTTTCGGTATTGCCATATATTCGGGTATGAAGATGGCTTCTTTCACAGATAACACGGATTTCTCTCGTGTAGTAGTGACTATTTTAAAGGCGTTTTTAAAGGCATGGATCTTATTTTGTCACAAAACTACCTAATATACAGAGTTGCAACTTTCGGACTTAAGGTTAGTCCTTAATGGGGAACTCATTTGCTGGTGCACAAACCAAGAAGCATCCCAGCACACCAAGTTAGTAAAAAGGCGAATATGCAAACCAAGTTTCTTGACCACTTTGCAGAAATCAAGTCTTTATTTGATGACTGTTGAATTTAAGAGTCAGTTGTAGAAATTTCAGGGCTTTGGCTACCCCTCGCAGTTATTGCTTTCAATGGGCACAACTCTAGCCAGAAAATTAAAGGGAGCTAGAGAAATAATAGAGAAGAGGGAGACAGCTGGGAAGCAAGTAAGTCAAAGAAACGCGGGAAAATGTCCACCATTTCATACGCGCACGAGTTGGCACTTGTACGATTTGAAACATCTTGGCAGGAGGAGTAAGGTAGACGCGAAGTATACAGCAAAAAACAGGTTCACAAACTTGTGTCCGCGATAACTGCTCAATGATACAAGAGTTTGCCTTTGTAAAATACCGAAATAAGTATGTAATGCGTACAAATAATGGTTTGTATGATTCATTTCACTTATGCTAAAGTGTACGTAGGTCAGTATGGAAGACGCATAGATGAGCCTATTAAGCTACACCACGCCCCATGCAGGCAATATACTCAATTCATTGCTCACTGCAAGATTTGCGGATGTTATCCCATGTTTAATGAAACCAAAGTCAGTTTTTGGCATGAGAATCAGCTGCCTTGCCAGATGGTTGACGCGTATCATACCCGGAAAAGGGGAGAGGACGTTGTGTAGTCAAGTCACACTAGTGGGGTACGACAAGAAGCTCACGTGTCACATACGGCGCTTGGCATGTACAACAAATGTCATGTAACGCGGAAAACAAACTTTTGTGTTATTCGCATTTTCGAAAGATGAACACACGAATGCTTTTTTTTTTTTGCGCCCTGCACTGTTACGCAAGCGCGAAGAATATTGTGTCGGATTTTATGATTTTATTATTTGCCTAATAAAAGATCACTTGCGAGTCCAGGCGCTTTCCTGTCCACTCGTGCTGTCCACGTTTTTCCGAGGACATCAAGCTGATTTTCAAATGGTGAGCGAACTGTATATCGCTACGTCTACTGCAAAAAAATTGCCCGCAGCTTCCCTCGGGGGAACACTGAGGAGGATGCGGAGCATATAATTGGTTAACGGGGTGTTAAAGTGCGACTTACTTGGGTCGATGGCTAAATTGGTTAACGTGGTTGTGAAATGGGGTGTTAAATTGCGACTTACTTGGGTCGCTGGCTAAATTGGTTAACGTGGTTGTAGGAGGGGTGTTAAATGAGTGAACACGTACGACACGTATGCGAAAGGGCGGTGTTTATTTATTGCGACGAACTTTGAGCACGATGGCTTTTAGATGCCACTTTGGCCGGCGCTGGTCGAAGGGACGTCGATCATTGCGACCTCGGAAGTCGACGCGCTGTACAAACCAACCGACGAGCGGCAACTGAGCGAGCGAGCACCGACCTTGAGTATATATACAGCGCGACGGCGCATGCACTGTCAGCTGTCGAATGTTCGAGAAGGGGGAGAAGCGCAACGGCGCATGCGCGCGCGTCAGCTGCCGATGTTCTCGAAGCGCGACGGCGCATGCGCGCGCGTCAGCTGCCGATGTTCTCGAAGCGTGACGGCGCATGCGCGCTACATTATACAGCTAGCGAATGTTCGTGAAGAGGTGAAGCGCACGCGGTGTGTAGAGGAGGAAGGGTGCACAGATGGTGGAGGAGTGAAGCGCGCGCGGTGTGTAGAGGAGGAAGGGATGCACAGATGGTGGAAGAAGGAGGAGGAAGCTTGCGGACGGCGCCGCACTACAAGCCTCGAGTATTAGATGCTCCGCATCTAAAAAAAAAGTTTTGTAAATGATACAGGAGTTGTATAACTCGACGTTCCGAGTGCACATGCGTTGCATGCGCGAATAGGTCACCAAAACGCACAAATATATCGCGGCTTTTCTTCGGAGTTAGGATTCGAGTTAAAACTTTTCCCTGAAATATTTTCTAGCGTCGCTTGCATGTACTCATCTGTCTTACTGAAATAAAAATGGCGCGTAACACTTAGCGAAAGTCTCCCAATAGAGCAGAAGAGGGCGGCACTGCCATGCGAGGTGATTCTTGTTTCGCGCGGATACACGGCTGTGTGTGTGTGTCGCTGCTTCTCTGAGAATAAAGCCAGTTGCTAGTGGCGCCCTCGTCTTTACCGTCTCGAGACATTCCTTGGTGCTTGAACATCATCTACCAGCAGGGCTGCTTAAGACTCGTGTTAGTCCGTGAGCTAATAACATAAACGATAGCCATCAGAAAAACGAAACGCGCTAGGCTTGTCCTTCGCTGCCAGAACGCGTGCGCCGATTTTTCCTGGGTGGGACGATGTGATCTGATCGGTGGGACAACGAGTACAGAGGAAGAGAACGAAAGACAACGTGGGTGTAGGGAAGAGAGGAAATTTCTCCGCGAGGCGAGATCCGCACCGGGTACCCATGATCCGAAGGCGAGTGACTCGGCTATCCAGGCACGCCAGCGGAGCATAGCATAGCTTTGAGTGGCATAGTATAGCAAGGAGATTGGAAAGAAAAGTGAGGGTGAGAAGAGAGCAAAGGACGAGGGGAAAGAGTACATCGGAGCATACAAAGAAAGATGAAAATACAGAACGAGAGGCAGAAAGTGAAGAAAGAAAAGAGTGAAGGGGAAATAAAGTGAGAGAAAGAAAGTGAGAGTGAGTGGGGAAGGGGAAGCGGGAAATTCAGACAGAGGCTGAGGAAGGAAAAAACACAGAAAGATAGAAAAAACAGAGCGAATATCAAAATATAAAGATTGAACCCAGAAAGAACTCGAAAACTTGCAAAACGGGGGAAGGCAGCAACAGTCAAACTACTGAGGTGCTCAACAGCGCCGCCGCTTCTTTGGCGTTGGGCCTGCAGTGCAAGCCAAGCTCATTTTTGTACCCAAACAAACAAGTACCAAGTAGCCCTGCAACAAATTCTACTCACGTGTTTTTAACCCATAGCCTGCGATCCTTGATTCCAAAGAGCCGTATGAGACGGCAGATGCGGTACATAGGTGCAGCAGTCATACTAAGTAGGCGCAGGAAAATCGAATTACAATAAGAGTCCGCATCATCAAACGTGTTGAAATACAACCCGTTCAGAACGAGACAGTAAGTGTGCGGCGGCCAATCCGTGAAGTACACTGCAAGAAAACAAACAATTTACGCATTTGTGAGGGGGCCTTAAGTACGCCAATATTTATTTTTCCACTTGAGGCGCTAATGATTCCCGACGTGTGTGATTTGCACGCTTTATGGTGAATTAGGGGTGAACAAGACCATGCAGTACTCGACCCCATCTGAATGTTTGAGAATTCCGCTCCGTGCTCCATCAGACAAGTTTCACAAGCTGTTGTTTCACTTTCACCTGCAATTAATTGGAACTACAATAGGCTCTTAAAAAAGAAATGTTTCAAACTTTGGACTTAGTTTAGTCTGAGCCGCCGTTGTTTGATTGTTCAGAGGTACTACAGGCACCATCCAGATGTACGACAAAATTTTCGTTTGTCCGTGCGTCATTCGTAGTATATGTGATGTAAATAAGAAGCAAATAAAGTGGCTGAACCTCACTCGGGAGTCGACTCACTTGGACTTACTGAGACTCAGATCGAGCCGTGATTCTGAGTCCGAGTGAGTTCAGTTGAAGAAAATTTTTGCGAGTCTGAGTCCGAGTGAGTTCAGTTGAAGAAAGGTTTTGTGAGTCTGAGTCCGAGTGAGTTCAGTTGAAGAAAATTTTTGTGAGTCTCAGTCCGAGTGAGTTCAGTTGAAGAAAATTTTCGTGAGTCTGAGTCCGAGTGAGTTCAGTTGAAGAAAATTTTGGTGAGTCTGAGTCCGAGTGAGTTCAGTTGAAGAAAATTTTGGCGAGTCGGAGTCCAAGTGAGTTCAGTTGAAAAAAATTTTGGCGAGTCTGAGTCCGAGTGAGTTCAGTTAAAGAAAATTTTGTTGAGTCTGAGTCCGACTGAGTTCAGTTGAAGAAAATTTTTGCGAGTCTGAGTTCGAGTGAGTTCAGTTGAAGAAAGTTTTGGTGAGTCTGAGTCCGAGTGAGTTCAGTTGAAGAAAATTTTTGTGAGTCTGAGTCCAAGTGAGTTCAGTTGAAGAAAATTTTGTGAGTCTGAGTCCGAGTGAGTTCAGCTGAAGAACATTTTTGTGAGTCTGAGTCCGAGTGAGTTCAGTTGAAGAAAAGTTTTGTGAGTCTGAGTCCGAGTGAGTTCAGTTGAAGAAAATTTTGGTAAGTCTGAGTCCGAGTGAGTTCAGTTAAAGAAACTTTTTGTGAGTCTGAGTCCGAGTGAGTTCAGTTAAAGAAACTTTTTGTGAGTCTGAGTCCGAGTGAGTTCAGTTTAAGAAACTTTTTGTGAGTCTGAGTCCGAGCAGGTTCAGTTGAAGAAAAGTTTTGCGAGTCTGAGTCCGAGTGAGTTCAGCTCACGAAAATAATTGGTCAGTCTGAGTCCGCGTGAGTCCAAAGCGAGGCATGCATTTCTTCGGTGAGTCTGAGTGAGTTCCACTTTCTTTTGCCGACGAAAGGTCATATCTAGTCACCTTCAGCATCACTATCAGCCTTGCCTGGATTCATGCTTGTACTCACGTCTACGCACGGGTATTCCGTAGCAGATTGAAAATTTTTATTGTTTCTAGATAAGCGCTACAAGTTTTCTGTTGAAAGTTTTACTCCGGAATCACTCTTTAAGATTCGCACGATGTAATACTACGCCACTCAATATTACATCCCAAAAAAGCAAATGAAGAGATAGTTGTTTTCCACGATAATTAGTCAATTATTGCAATTAGTGGTCAAATAAACATTTTGTTATTCTGCAATCTGTCATGCTCTATTTTTACTTAGAAAAAATCAAGTTGCAGGGCCGAAATGCATACGCAGTTTGCTGGTGGTGGTGCTTATATAGAGCAAAGAAAAATTAATCCTTTTGACGTTGGCATCATTTTGACTCTCGCTTTGTATTAGCATATTCTAGGAGTCCTTTTGATTGAAAATCAATCAATGAAAAAAAATGTGGGAAAATAAACTGATCAGTCGACCTGTATTTTTTCATGCTCGTGATTAAGGGACGTTCGTGCGATTCAAATACCCACCTGAGGACACATTAGCAAATGTTCGTCGTAAAGGCACGGGCTAAGGTAAGCACGATAGAAAATCATCAATGTACTTACCGCATCGCACCCTTGATTTCCTGCATTGTTATATAGTAGTCAGAATCGTATTTCGGCATCGGAGAAGAAAGCACACGCTTCGCGAGTCGACGATGTTGAAGAACTAGAAAAGTACCAAGGGTAAAACATATATATCAGGCGCCGTCTTTTACGCGCGTATATAGAGCACTGCACGAGCGTGAGACCACCCGAAAACCCGGAAACGGTCAGGTCGGTGGGGTGTGCCGAGACGGGCAAAGCTTTTAAGGGACGCTGCCACACTTTTTCAGCATGGTAAGAAAATTCTTCTGATCGGCAGTCGAGGCTCCGGGAAGCGCGCAAGCCAAATATTACAGCGCAGTACGTGACCAGAAATTTATATCGCTTTCTCTATTCTCTCGATATATGGCACTACAAGCTCAAATGTCACTCGTCAGAGCAATTGCGCATATCATCCTTTGGCTGACTTGGGCATGGCGCCAAGGTAAATGTAACTGGTAGCGAAACTTTCATATAGGCCTATACGTTAAAAAAATAGCGATCCTTCAGCTGCTCATGGGGCTTAGCGCCATCTCTGTGAGGAAAAAACACTTCCGGCGGAAAAAAATCAACCGGATGTGACGCAATAGCTGGTAATAAAGTGACGTCATTTTGTGCGCACTAGCGCGAAATTTGATCTCGAATTACTTTTCATCGGCTCCTGATCGCTAACGACTCGCGCTAAGGCGGTAGCCGGCGAGTCATCCACGAGTGCGCTTCAAGTCAACGTCAACTGATTTAATGCGGACTCATTACTGACTAGTGATGTTTAAGTGTGCTACCATTCATTTTGCCTCAATTTTACAAAAAAAAAACTTATCTTGAAACTTTTATTCACCGTTCGTGGCCTGTTCCACCAATGAATTAAGGCAACCGACCGCGTAGCAGCGTATACAAGTGATATCTGCAGCATGGCTTATTTGTTTCACACATACGCAGGTTCTTCAGCATGCACAATACTTGTGATTTTCTGTTTTAACAGAAATAAATGAGGCTTAGACACGCTAAAATGTTGACATTTTGATTTTATTCAATGGTCACAATAACTTAAATTTATTACACTGCACAAAATGGTAATAAGGACAAAGACATCGGCGGACACTCCCTGCGTTATGTATTTCTTTTTTTTCGTTATCCTCCGATAAATTACCCGTACGTATGCGAATGAAGACTTGCTGATTGTATCGTGAAAGATAACTTGGCAATCCGCTAACCGATAACACTAATAGTAGACACTGCGTGCTCAAGAAAGAAACTGGGCTGCAGTATTATCGATGGACGAAAATCCAGCGAGCAGCGCATTCCGAACTATTGTCTTTGTTTCTTATCTAGAAGATGATGGGTCACCAGACATACGTTTGTTGCTACTGCATCCTTAGACAGCACATCTTTTGCGCAGCTAGCGACGAAAGCACTCGGCATTAAATGCAATTCGCATCGTTCCGCTGCCCGTAGGACACTACACTGAAGACGTTCAGCGAGGATTAAACGCACCTAACGATTTCTCACACAACAGAGTACGCAAGCAGGCGCAGAACACTAAAACACGTGAGGAGGTGTGTTTTCGCAGACGAATGTTACGAGCATGCCTTGTCATGTGTACCCATGTAGTGCAAGGGCTGCACTGAGTGATAATAGCATGGGCAGAGGGCTCTAGAAAAGAAAAGATTTTTCGTATTATTAAAACAATCATAAATCATTTGTTCATTGCACCTATGTAATATTGCTGGGGAAAAGCAATCTCATCTGTAAAAAGCATTGATTGCTTCGACTTTGAATGAAACTTGGTTTTTCACTATTAGTGTTTGTTCCCCCTCCACACATAATCACGCTACAATCACAGCTCCGCCCCGCCGCAATGGTCTAGTGGCTAAGGTACTCGGCTGCTGACCCGCAGGTCACGGGTTCAAATCCCGGCCGCGGCGGCTGCATTTCCGATGGAGGCGGAAATGTTGTAGGCCCGTGTGCTCAGATTTGGGTGCCCGTTAAAGAACCCGAGGTGGTCAAAATTTTCGGAGCCCTCCACTACGGCGTCTCTCATAATCATATGATGGTTTTGGGATGTTAAACCCCACAAATGTAATCTAATCAATCACATCTCCCATAACTCCCCATGCTGATGTCACGGGCGACGGATTCTGAACCGCTTTTTTACCCGAGCTATAGTGTACTAGAAATGTTCCCGAGCCTTCGCAACTATTTAAATAGACCTTGATGGCGCGCTCAATAGTTAGCGGGGCCGCCGCAGAAACCCGCGGCTTGTCCACGCGTGCGCGCGCGATTACACTGATAAAGCCGCACACTCCAACAAACAAAACAGATAAATGGTGCTTAAGATTACGAGGCGCGAGTGACGTATTTTCTTTCCCCGTGTAATCTCTCTCTGCTTAACGCTTTCGACGGCACGAGAAAAAAAATAGAAGCAATACCAGAGGGTGACAAACTTTAGTTGACTCAGCTCGTACTGGAAGGATTCTAAAAAAATTACGGCGGTCTATTCGTGAGGCAATAATCTCTTTCAATGAAATAATTACGTCGCTATTGAAAAAGTGCTGCAGGGCCCCTTTAAGGCGGAGGCCTCAGATTTACCATTGGTGGCGTCCACACGAGGGTTGCTTAAAATCATTACGTGATGACATTGCCACTCAGACGTGCAATATCAACGAAATTAATGACGTCATTATGCGACTACGCGTGACGTCATCGCACGAAATCGTCGCTTCGTCTAGTGGGCCGAAGGCACTGCTAAACTAGGCCAGGCGCGAAAAGTCTGCAATGCCTCTGATCCCCAAGGCAGTGCAAAACCATGTTCGCTGCAGAAAACATCTAACACGGGGGCCGGCGAGGATCTAATATATACAGTGACTCATATGGAGATGTCTTTCTCCTTCGACACGTCTTACGCTAATATATAAGGTAGCCTTTTATTTTCATTCTTGTTTATTAAAGACGATCATTTTTATTGGTAACCATAGACGCCAAAATTTTGGTCTGTCTGTCTGTCTGTGTCTTGTATGTCTGTCTTTCTGTAATTTGTCTGTTTGTCCACGGTAACGATTTCCCTAATGGCCCCAAACGATCCCTCAAACGACCAACCCCGTCCGCAGCGCCCACCAATATTGCTCAAGTTTCAGCGTTCATACTCGTGCGATTGTCGAGTAAAAAAGCAAATATTCCGCTTATCTGAATCACCATAACAACACGTCAATGTTTTGTATATGTGCCTTTTTACTAGAGAAGGCACGCACAAGTAATTCTTAGGACCGTAGCGTTTATCACGCTGCGCTGACAGTGCGACGCGAGCCTCAAAAAAGGCAAGTGTTTCCAACGCCTTGCTAAGACGGCACGGAGGTGGCACCTGTCGGTCACTTTGCGTTCTATTCTTTATCGCCTCCGGGACAGGCGCGCATCTTTCTCCGCGGGCTCGCACGCCTTCCTTCGTTTTCGAAGATAACTGCCAGATGGCGCTCGTGTCTAACATGCCTCGATGCGCTCGTTCGGCTTCGCTGCACGGACCGAGACTCCCTAATGCAGCGCTTCCAGAATACAACTCACCGATTTCCTCGTGCAGAACATCAAATAAACGTTTTATTCACTCTTTCCACACGCAAGACTATCGTCTTTCGACGACATTTGCAGTGAAACATGCAGATACGGGCCAATTTCTGAGGGGCGAAGCTCATCAAGGCGTGGATTGATTGATTTATTGATTGATTTGTGGGGTTTAACGTCCCAAAACCATCATTTGATTATGAGAGACGCCGTAGTGGAGGGCTCCGGAAATTTCGACCACCTGGGGTTCTTTAACGTGCACCCAAATCTGGGCACACGGGCCTACAACATTTCCGCCTCCATCGGAAATGCAGCCGCCGCAGCCGGGATTTGAACCCGCGACTTGCGGGTCAGCAGCCGAGTACCTTAGCCACTAGACCACCGCGGCGGGGTCATCAAGGCGTGCATCTGTCCACCCCTTGTATGTAGTAGTACGTAGGCACCGGTGACACAACCCGCTCTAGAGCATGTATGTGCCACAGGGGATCTGAGATGGTGGTACTTGGAGGGTTTCAGTAGATTAACGCACGGACGGATGGACAGACATACTAGCAGATGAACGGACAAATGAATAGACGCGCAGACGTATTGACGGATGGATGCACGAACAGACAGACACACAGATACACAGACAGACAGATAGATGGATGGATGGACGGACTCACGGATAGACACATGGACAGACGGACGGACGCATGGATGGGTGCACGGAGGGTCGCACTGACGTACGGAACCAAGAATGACCGGACGGGCGGAAGCACGGACGGGTAGTGACGCTTCACCCCACTCATCATCATTCACTTTTTGAATATGCTGTTATTTTTTTTCTAGTTTTTTTTTCTTTTTCTCTTTTTTTTTAGTGGGCCTCGGACCGGCTCGGGGCAAATCTGGGCTTCGGCTCGGACCGGGTATTGGGACTACGGTATTGTGTCAGGTCGCGGTTGGTTCTAGCCTCATGTTTATGGTGAAAATGTATGTGTTACGTGCACCAAACCCTACTATGAACAGCTCAGCCAGGTTTCATCCGATGTCGGCACCCAGTTTTCAATCTGAAAGTGAAGTTGCCACCCTCGCAGCAAGCCCGTTTCCGTTCTCGTCAAACATGCTCGCGGCTGCTCTATTTATAGGGGCGTGGACAGAATTTTTTTCGAGGGGGCTCGACCATACTTTATGTATGGTTGTGTATGCGTTTATACGAGTGCATGTGCATATACGCACGCAAAACTGAAAAAATTCAAGGAAGTCTGAACCCCCCTCTACTCTATTGTCTAAATTATTATTAGCATACTGGGGCTAATTAAATATAGCTGACACAAATGAAAGGCACCGTTTGGATCGAGTACGAATCGTACCCCTGGGTGCGGAGACATGTGACACGAGATGGGCACGTGCAGCCTATTTTGTGTGTGTATGTAGCGAGAGCTCCGGTGACGGTCGCAACAGTATTTCAATTTCCTGGATTAGCATAGTTCGACCGAACAAGGCATGGGCCAAGGTATATTTTTCTCGAGCAAATATTGTCCTTGAAAACGCTTGGAAGTTGCGAATTCCGCGTCAAGCGACGTCCCCTTATACCTCAACCCACATGCAGTAAGTGGGTAAGCGTCGAGAATCTTATTCGCGCCACAATCCTCCAACTGCGTCAAACTCCGAAATACATTATATGTGCCTTTTTACTAGATAAGGCACGCACAAGTAATTCTGAGGACCGTAGCGTTTATCACGCTGCGCTGACAGTGCGACGCGAGGCTCAAAAAAGGCAAGTGTTTCCAACGCCTTGCTAAGACGACACGGAGGTGGCACCTGTCGGTCGCTTTGCGTTCTATTCTTTATCGCTTCCGGGACGGGCGCGCATCTTTCTCCGCGGGCTCGCACGCCTTCCTTCGTTTCCGAAGATAACTGCCAGATGGCGCTCGTGTCTAACGTGCCTCGATGCGCTCGTTCGTCTTCGCTGCACGGATCGAGACTCCCTAATGCAGCGCTTCCAGAATACAACTCACCGATTTCCTCGTGCAGAACATCAAATAAACGTTTTATCCACTTTCTCCACACGCAAGAGCATCGTCTTTCGACGACATTTGCAGTGAAACATGCAGATACGGGGCCAATTTATGAGGGGCGAAGCTCATCAAGGCGTGGATCTGTCCATCCCTTGTATGTAGTAGTACGTAGGCACCGGTGGCACAACCCGCTCTAAAGCGTGTATGTGCCACAGGGGATCTGAGATGGCGGTACTTGGAGGGTTTCAGTAGATTAACGCGCGGACGGACGGACGGACAGACATACTAGCAGATGAACGGACAAATGAATAGACGCGCAGACGTATTGACGGATGGATGCACGAACAGACAGACAGACAGACAGACAGACAGACAGACAGACAGACAGACAGACAGACAGACAGACGGATGGATTGATGGACGGACTCACGGATAGACGCATGGACAGACGGACGGACGCATGGATGGGTGCACGGAGGGTCGCACTGACGTACGGAAGCAAGAATGAACGGACGGGCGGAAGCACGGACGGGTAGACTGACGCTTCAACCCACTCATCATCATTCACTCCGTGGATATGCTGTTATTTTTTTCTAGATTTTTTTTCTTTTTCTCTCCTTTTTTGGTGGGCCTCGGACCGCCTCGGGGCAAATCTGGGCTTCGGCTCAGACCGGGTATTGGGACTACGGTATTGTGTAAATATAGCTGACACAAATGAAACGCATCGTGTGGATCGAGTACGAATCGTACCCCTGGGTGCGGCGACATGTGACACGAGATGGGCACGTGAAGCCTATTGTGCGTGTGCGTGTGTGTGTGTGTGTGTGTGTGTGTGTGTGTGTGTGTGTGTGTGTGTGTGTGTGTGTGTGTGTGTGTGTGTGTGTGTGTGTGTGTGTGTGTGTTTGTGTGTGTGTGTGTGCGCGCGCGCGTATGTAGCGAGAGCTCCGCTGACGGTCGCAACAGTATTTCGATTTCCTGGAATAGTATAGTTCGACCAAACAAGGCATGGACCAAGGTATATTTTCTCGAGCAAATATTGTCCCTGAAAACGATTGGAAGGTGCGAATTCCGCGTCAAGCGACGTCCCCTTACCTCGACCCACATGCAGTAAGTGGGTAAGCGTCGAGAATCTTATTCGCGCCACAATCCTCCAACTGCATCAAACTCCGAAAATACATTAAAATCTGTGTGAGGAAAAAAAAGTTCGCAACAAACTATCGCCTAATATTCACTGTTCCGATTCGCGTGCAGAAGGCCCCATAGAAAAGTTCGATCGATGATTTTCATGAGTCGCCAAACTCTATTGACAGAGAAAGAGAAACGCATGAACTGGACAGCTATATGCCTTTCGCAGACGTGTTCAAAGACGTCCGACTCCTGTCTCAGATAGGGCGCCTAAAAAAACCGATCCCCCACGCCCCCCTTACGAAAACTGCGTCGTAAGAGGTGTGATGCGGGAATACTTGGAGGGGAGGGAGAGGGAGGCCTTATAAGACCGGATCGCTTTCACGCTCAGTAACGCATGCAGTGACAAGCTGTACACTGTGCCGCAGAATTCTCGCAAAGCCTATGTACTATCTGGGCGGGATATGAGAATAACGGTATCATATTACTTCTTTATCGTTTTTTTCTCTTCATTTGTTGTTTCAAAAGCATCTGTAGTGCAGGCGGTTAGCGAGAATTTTTATTGATTTCAGCGTACTTACAAGTGTCGAGAATATCTACGGCATGTCACACGTTCTTCAATACTTAAAAACGAAAGCTTGCTTCTCATTCTCCAATACATTATGTTACACAATCGGGGACCACTTTTGTATCGATACACAACTAGCCGTAGCGCAAGAGACACGCCGTACGTTTGCGGTTTTCTTAACGCTTTCGCTCCGCGGCATTGTTGCAACCACCTTCCCAACCCCCGCCTCGTTGCTTCCTTCACCTAACATGGCCCACCTTTCACCAAGCGAAGATGCCATCTGTAGTAGGTGGCCATGTCACATGATGACGGCATCATGATGACGTCGCAGAATAGGAATAGCTGCCACGTCATTACGATGGCACAAGGCGACATCCCCGCATGATGTCGTTAGTGGGCGTAAGCTATGGAGGTTCTTGCCGCACTTCATTGACTCCCTGCGTTTTACTCGAGGGGCCGCTCTACAAGAGTTGTGCGTGTCGCCTTAGTACGTACATTCTGACTTAACGCCCTGCACTTCTGTTTTGTCAGGCTTCTGTTCGGAGGAGAGTTATAGTACAAATCCAGTAAAGTGTATTATTGGGTTTTCTTGTTCAAGCAACATTTAAGCTTCAACATAAAGCGTAATAAAAGCAAAATTAAAAAGAGGGGCGCTGTGTTCTCTGTCATCCCTGTTTTTATATATATTAATCGAGGCTGCGGATCATTTTGCATTTCACAATACGTGCTACAAGGCGTTCTCTACGATTCCCATAAAAATAGCTATTATAGGCCGCTGCTGTGTAAACGCTCACTGCACCCGTAGCTAAGCTCCACTATTACCGCCATGCGGCTGTTTAGTACCAAGAGTTATCGAATTCGTGGCAGCAAAAGATACGCCAACAAAACCTCGATAGTTGCTGCTTAAGACGCCTTGCTCTTGATTGCGTCTATAATGGCCACGGTTGGGCATGACTTGAGGGAGGGCTGGGGTGGGCATGAGTCTGCGGTAGTCACGGCCTGTGCAGTGCTCTAGCGAATACATATGTCGCGAGACATCTCGCCAAATTGAGCGGAGCAGCTATATAAATGTCGTGCTCGTGTGTCATTAATAAGTAGAAGTACCGTTAGCATTCATTCGTTCATTCATTCAATCAATCAATCATTCATTCATCAACGTACCTTCTTCTTCACTTTCGACACCGCGCCGAGAGAATGTCTTCTTGTCGGCATTGGCCTCCACGGTGTCCAACAGAAAGAACAACACTATTACAAATTCCGTCATTGCCAAAGCGAACAGCAGTCCATGGCCTCTGACCTGCACAACCAGGGAGGATGATGGCAAACGAGAAAGGTCGAGGAGAGCGTTTCGAGCAGGCATGTCCTTCGCGATTAAGCTTCGATTTCACATTGCGAAAAGAACGTCGTCACGAAACATGATGATGATGATGATGATGATGATGATGATGATGATGATGCAACACACCATGCCACGTACCCACAACAATCTAAAGGGCAATAATCATGCTGCTGTCATTTTCAAGTAAAGTTTTGAAATAATGTAATGATAACAAACTACTTGATCCACACAAACGTGTACGATTGAGAGCGTAGTGATATTGAGCACTGAGAGAAGACGGAAGCATAGTCGAGCTTAACAGAAGAAAAATATCTGCAAGATTGCACAAATTGTGGCGAAGGTATCTGAAGAATACCAGAATGATAGGTTTAAAACTAAGAATAAAATTTTAGCCGCGTAACTGCGTACTTCACTGCAAATGTCGTCGAAAGATGGTAGTTTTCTTCTACATTAGTCCTGATCTCATCCGCGGCCATCCGTGATGCTGTTCTCGTACCATTTTCGTCCTGGCATGGTAAATGCAATAGAGGCTCATTTTAACAGATCTCATTTTATCCTATTATCACTGCTGCCATGTGAACCTCCGCGACATGTCAACGATTTTGTGGTCGCGTGTGGTACTGCAGAGCATGATACTTTGCAATGGAGGACCTTTGCAATGAATAAATGAATGTGTTTTATTGCGTGGAAGCGTCAGTGGCTGTGCGTACGTACTAGTGGTGCGCCAATGTAGACGGCTGCCGAAGTAATATCATCCACAGAGGCATTTTTATGCATTTTTTTTTTGCATGAGTTGCATTTCCAGCGCAGACTAAGAAACACTTTGTTATTTAGAACTACATATCTATGTGTTTTCTAATAATACGAAACGCCACCGCATGCTTACGTATTGATGGAAGCATTACGAGAGCGAATATGTTAACCGCAGATGCCATAATATATTAATTCTAGATACATTAGTTGTCAGAGATCAGTGCGCAACACTTGCTTTTTATCGACAATGTTCACAGGTACGACGCCGCCACCAGTCCAAGCTGCCTGGGCGCTTTACGCATTGTTTGTGAACGCAATGTGCTCACTGCGCTTGACAAATAAACTTGATTTTTTCTTTAATCAAGAAGCTTATGATCTGCGCTTTTCAGTGACATCTGATGTTAATGCCTTGTCGGAAGCGTCACCTAATAGTAATGAAATACGTGTGAGCAACAAAAGGCATTTACGCTGTACAAGCCTCCGATGTACTGCTAGTACAGCGAAACTGTAACATAACAATGCAAAATAGCAAGCGAAATAACAAAGTGTTAGTCAAGAACTTTATGAAGAGGTATTGATTATTAAATAAGTAATAGTTTATTTACACCCCAATGAAAAAGGGGCAAAGTAATGAAAGTTTGCGTGTGAATATCTTTTTTTTTTTCTTTTCAAAGCAGAGCCATAATATTTCTTCATTAAATTTTTATTTGTTTAGAGCAGGCTTGACTCCCTCCCCCTTTTGTTCTTTTTGAGGAGAAGAGGAAACTGTGGAGCACTTTTGATCTCTTGTAAGAAGTTTTCAACATTAAGAACGGTATCACTAAAAATACCGTTCTGAATCCTTCACTCTAAAGAAATATCGAGTAAAAAGGATGTCTTTTTGTCCCACAACAATAATCGTCATCAAGCTTGCGTGCGCTTCCTTTCTTGAAAACTCGGCGCTGGCCACTTCCCTATCGAGAATGCAGTGTAACCCTGATAATGGGCACGTCGATCGTGACCGGAATGTACCGGGCGCGGGGCGATAGCGCAGAGGTGGAACGCATTATGGATGACGATTATTGTTGTGGGACAAAAAAACACCCTTTTACTCGCTCTTTTTTAGAGTGTTGGCTTAGATTTGTCAACGTTAAATTTACTATCTCTAGGTGTACATACCCTAGGACACAACAACGGGAAAGTGTGCGAGGCCGCGGTGCAAGATTTTATTGTACAGTCGAAGAGATGTACTCAATAACCCCAATACCAAAAGGTTCTCGGTTAACCAATGTAGGCTTTGGAAATTGTTCTTCAATATCAATCATTTATTGCTCATTCAGTAGGAAGTAATTCATCTAAATATTTTCTCAAGGATAATTTACAAAAAAACAATATTTAAGTTACTTTTTTTCGCCAATATTCAAATATATACATTTCTCTTTTTTGTTTTTGTTAAGGTACCCGATTCTTGGCCGATCCCTCCGGGTGGGTGTGAGCCACACGTTTGGGATCTATATCTACATCTACATATTTAGTGTTTTTGTAGACTACATTACAATTAGTTTCCATGCGAAAGTTATTTGTGCTGCGAAAAAAAGTTCATGGCTGTACATGGTCACGCAATACCGATGAAGCGACAAAACTATAGAAGCTGGTATTTGAACTCCTACGTAAAAAACCAGAAAGGCTCTTTCTAGGATTCTATGAGGAGAAAATTCTTTTGTCTTCATTAGGGGAACTAAAAGGCAGCAGTGAATCGAGGTAATATTTCTGCGGCCCCGTTCCATATAAACTGGCTTTTTAGGGGCGAAGCTCCTTAAAGCGGCACCCGTTGGTCCCTTGTCGTAGTGCGTAACCAGTCTAACGTTTTCACCTGCAAGCTGGTGCCGGAGGGAGATTTCTCCTGTGCGTTGTTAAACAATGAAAAATTCGCAGCATGCGCGTTAACTAAAAGCCCAATTCTCCTGTCTCTCATTCCCCATTAGCAGCCATTGGCATGTACATTGAGCACTATCTGACAAGAAAGGCTTGCTACGTTATACTCGCAGGGCGTAACCTCCTTGGTTTTAGAAAGGTTTAGCGAGCGTTGGGCCACAGTGCCATGAATACAGTGAACTAGTATATACCATGAACTCGAGGTGGTTAAAGGTGGGAAGTGGACCCGAAGCGCAAGCCGTAAGAAAGTGTGCGTGTGCCTCTTCTCGTTTGGTCCTTGGAATGTCCGCTGGATGGCGGGGTACTTCTATATGCGGAATATATGATGAAAAGATGTGAGATGGGGGTACTTGGAGTGTTGACTAGATGGACGAACGGACACACAGACAGATGCATGGACGGACGCACGGATGGCTGCACGGACGGATGGACGCATGGACGGACGCAGGGGCGGCCGCATAGACGAATGCAGGGACGGACGCACGAACAGACGCACGCACGGACGGGCGGATGGACGCACGGACGGTCACACAGATGGACGCATGAACGGACGGAAGCAAGAAGGAATGGGCAGACGGATGCTTCGCCCCACTTTCCATCATTCACCCCATGGATATGCTGCCATTTTTTTTTCTTTTAGACGCTGATTACCATTGACACATTAGTAGGTGAATACTGTGTCTTGCAACTACTTGTACTTACTAACTTGACAAGCCAGTGCTTCAAACAAAATACTTTCAATAGATCATAAATCTCACAGGTTTTTTTTTTTTTTATGGCGCTATATATGAAATAAATGTCACAGCTTTGCCGCAAAGGCGAAGCAATAAACGCAATAGCAACAAATTGGAAGGTCGCGCGCAGAATGGCCAGCAGATCGAAACGTACCCCGCATTTCTCACGCACAAAGGCCGCACGAAACGTACTCTCGGGTACAGATAAACGCGAATAATTGTCCCAGTTGTTACTTCGCTGTGTCCTACAAGCCTGCTATTTTCGTAAATGCAGAGTGCGCAGCCATTGCAGTGACCTTTATGCGCCCGGTAACCAAAACAGAATCATTCCGGTAAAAGCCGAATGCCAGCCAAGACGTACGATCCTCCCTACAACGAGATAAGGACGCGCGAGGAGCGCCGACCTTCTGCTCTTTGCGGGGCAAAGTGCGCGTGCGAGATTAGAGCGCGGCCCCTGCGTCGGGACGATGTTGCTACGTGCACTCATTGCGCCGTTTTGCTGGTAAGACTTACAACACGATAGCCCCCCCCCCCCCCCCCCGGGATGCCAGTCAGCAGCGGTAAGTGGCACATATAGATAGCTTGCCGTTTGAATGGTCAAGGACGTGTTTCTCGGTGGCTTAGTGGTGAACGCCTCACACACAATTCATAGCGCCCAAGTTTGATTCCGCACGCTGGAGTCTTTTTCTAGATTTTTTTTCTTTTTTTTCATTTTCATACCTATAGAAACGTATACATATAAGTGAGCGACGACGGCGCTAGCGGCAAAATCCAGCTGAGAGTGTCCATATAATTTTTATCGCAATAAAAAAGTAAAGTTTTTTATGCGATTTCAACCGTTCGCCAAACGTGGTGCGCCTAAACATTAAAAAAAGCTGGTAGAGCAGGCATCGATTATTTTTCCAGGCTCGCTGGGTAAGTCTAGTGGCCGCGCGTAACGAACACCAACTGTAAAATGAGGAGGGCTTAGTCATATACACTTTCCACTCGAACCATGGCAGCAGGTGGGGTGGTCTCATCTGGAGTTACCATAGAGTAACATAAAAATTACAAGAGTGCAACAGGATGCAAAGGTAAGCTAGTTGGTAATTCATATTGTTCAGCGAACTGGGAGCGCTGGAGGAACACACACACGAAGCAAAGAGGAGGCACACAGCACGAACGCTCGTGCTGTGTGCCTTTTCTTTGCTTCGTGCGCGTGTTCCTCCAGCGCTCCCAGTTCGCTGAACAATATTACAAGAGTGGTCACTCGGGCCAAAAAGTGGCGTAGCTGTACGCAGTTTCGCCCCCAGCCGTAAGATGGCAACACATCACTCACTGTTTCAAAGGAAACACGCGTAATTGTTATTTACTACAGTACCTTTTCTGGTGCATTATACGTCTACGTGTTTTTGCGTAGATGATAGTGACCTTGATAGTGGCCTGAATCCATCTTTTATCGGATGCGATTGTATGGTGCGATATCGTCGGGCTGGTATCAGGCATGAATCGGATACGAGAGAAGTGC